GCCATACTTTGCATGGTTTGGGTCTATCCTAATGACCTCTGCCTGTTTGTCATGAAAGGTATGGCATTATTTAATTAACCCTGTGGTTTCTCTGTGCACTTGGAGTAGGCTGAATAAGAGATTTTAACGCTGGTTGCTATTTCCTGCCATATGACAAAAAGCTGACAACTATCAACCAGTACCCCTCCTGAAGGATGTAGAAAAAAATCAGATGAAAATTTAGGAAGGAAAGATAATTCCTAATCCTCTTGAAACTTTTTCCGGAAAGGATATAGGTGGAACCTGTTTTCCAACTGTGTTCTCTCAACGAAATTCTAACTCTTAAACTGGCAAATAATAATGGATAGTGCTATGACTTGATTAACGGGTTGGAAATGTGTGATAAATTAGGTTGCTCAGTTCAGGATCCAGCACCTCACAGCAAGCAGATCGGAAATACTCACACTTGCTAATATCAACAATTGCCAGTCTGGCCTTGAGGTAAGTCTTGTGTCATTGCCCTCCCTCTACCCAAATTCTCCTTCCAGCTGTTCTGATATTCACTAAGACTACAGTTTCTCTGAACAATTTACTTCTGCCTTGCTATGTTTAATTAGTTATTGAATAACTGATTTTCTCCTATTTTAGTGGGACCCTTAACATATTTCAAATTATACTGAGATTTATTGTGAAGTAAGAACGTCCTATTAGCGTGCCATCCCAGAAGTTCTTTGCTTCTAGTCCCATTCTCCCCAATCCCCAAATATCTTTTTAGTTCTAGTATCCAAACTCCTTAGCAAGATATTTTCCTTTTTCTGTTCTGTTTTATCCTAATATTTAAATTTTGTAATTTCTCTAATACTATATATATATATATATAAATGAAATGGGAATTTTTGGTTTCACACTAACAGCATGAGGAAATAGCTTTGGGATACGATTTATTTAAGTTCACATCCCTGTTTCACAACCTACCAGATGTATGATATTGAACATACTATTTAAACTTTCTTTAGTTCCATTTTCTCACTCATAAATTGGGGTGATCAATAGCTACCATACCTGATTGTTGTGAAGATTAAGTGAAAAACTAAATGTAAAATTCTTTACACATTTCCAGCTCATTGTAGGTGCTCTCTTCAAAGAATGCTAGAATTTGTCATATTGTTACGGACTGCATTGTGTTCCCCCCCAATACCTCAGATGTGACTTTATTTGGAGATAGGGCCTTTAAGAGGTAATTAAGTTAAAATGAGGCCATTAGGATTGGCCTTAATCCAATGTGACTGATGTCTTTATAAGAAGAGGAAACTTTTACATACAGAGGTACCAGGAATGTGCACACCCAGAGGAAAGAATCATATGAGAACACGGTAAGAAAGATGTCATATACAAGCCAAAAAGAGAGCCCTCTGAATAAGCCACACCTGCTGACACTTTGATCTTGGACTTCCAGGCTTCTGAACTGTGAGAAAATTGGTTTCTGTTGTATAAGCCAACTGATCTGTAGTACTTTGTTATGGCAGTTGCGGAAAACTGATATACATATATTCACTATTTGAGAAGAATTAACCCTTACTGTTTTCCTATTATAAGTCCTACTTAATCCTCTAATTAATAATAGGGGAATGATTAAGAGTATAATCTTAGAAGATAGATAGCCTTGAATTTGAAGACTGGGTTATCCACCTAGGTGACTTTGAATGAATTTCTCATATGTTCCAGAGTCTCAAATTTCCTTATGTATAAAATGAAGCAACACCTGTCTCAAAGAGTTATAATAAGGATCAAATTAAAAGAGATGTTTATAAATTTCATAGTATAGTATCTGATATATAGGTGCTTAGTAATTAATTATTGGAAGTAATTAATTATTATGGAAGAATTAATTATCTTTATGTATAGAGATAATGTACAAAACCATTTACATGTGTTTTGTCAATCTGGCTTAGTTTTCTCTAAGCTTAATCAGTTTAGCAAATCTGTGTGTGAAGTGCCATACATATACATCCTTTCAACAATTACTTAATTATTTTGAGGATGTGGAAAATTAGCTTCATTGTTGGCTCGAATCCAAGATCACCCTTAAAATGACTTGTAATATATTTTTAACATTTATTCTAAAAACCCTTCCAGTGTATTAGATTTATTGGAATGATTTGATGATTTTGTTTCAGGGACCAAGCTTAGACTATTTTTTTTCTTGTGCAGTCTTCATACTTGCCATTTTAGGAAGATATTATGGTTTATCAGAATCTCCTCACAATGAAGTATTCTAGTTTGTAGTAGAATAAACAAGGATCTCCTTTATTATTATCTGGACCAATTCTAAAATTCTCTACATAATTTTTTATGGTATAGTTCATGGTCTGGTCATTCCCTTTACCACATGATTTATAGGATAACATCTTATTTCTCTTTAATTAAGGACGGAATTTTCTTCCATAACTATGTCATTGAACTTCTGTCATCTTGTAAAACTTTCAAGCTGTCATTGTTTGTGATGTCTTCTCACATACATAATGCACTCTGTCTTTTGCTCATTTCTATCCTTGTGTAGTTTGTGAACTGGCATTACAATATCACAGTTTCCCACTCTATGAGATTGCAATTACGTTAAAATTTTACTTGCTGTAATTTATTTAAATTAATATTCACCACACATTTATTATGTACAAAGCACTATGCTATCTACTGTGAAAGAACAAAGATATTTAAAATAATCCCAAAGATTCTACAATCTCAGCATTCTAATCATATTTTTTAGGCTTCTAATATCTGTTAGAAACATTTATATATTTTGACTTGTCTTTTCTTTCATTTCCCATTCCTATTTGTTGTCTCATCTGAAGGAATATCTACTCTGTCACTTATTTTTAAGTTAAGTAGGCCAATGAATTCCCTGTAGGGTCTTAAAGCAGAGTCTGTGCCAATCTGTTTTGTGTCTTTTGTTTCTCAGTTTCTCCCCAGTTTTTAGAATAAAACCACCACCTAGTTTGCTAAGATAGTACAGTGTTAGTGATGAGTGGTTTACGGGGTTTTCTTGTAAACATTACATCTCCTTTTGCTGAATCAGGATATCTTCTTCACTCTCATCAAAAGACCAAACCATCACTTGTTATAGGCTTATTTTCATTTGTTTGAAAATTAAAGAGTTGTCAGTAGACTTTCTGATGAAGGGATGAAGGGCATCTAAAATCATTATTTTAGACAATAATGTTACTTCTCAAAGAGTTAAAGAAAGAGAAAAAAGCAAACTCTCTAACCTTAATAGGCACCCGTGCTTGGAGGTGAAATGGGCCAGGAAGAAAAGATGAAAAAAGTAGAAAAAGAGAATAAAGACAAAGGTACATATTGTTAGGAAACCAATATGGTTTCCTATGGTTTTGGAACCTTATGAAGATCTAGTTTTTATCAGACGTGACACTTGCTTCCCCCCCTATTTTTACCTCTCCCAAATAGGATAGGATATAATTGGGTATCATCTCGTAAATCTTTCACTAATAACCATTAACAAACCAACTGTTCAAAATCCTTTAGTGCCTCTTATATGTGAAACCTTGTGCTAGGTGCTAGACAAGATAGAAGAAATATATAATTCCATGCCCGCCTTCAAGAGTGTTATTGTCTAGCTGTGGCAACTGGGGGTGGGGTGTCTTTGAAAGGTTTCAAAAGGAGTAAAATAGACATTAAGTACTGAAAAATTCAAAAGGAAAAGTGAGCATTGATTTGAGGATCTGAAAAACTCTAATCCATCTTTATTTCCTTGCTATGTGACCTTGGACAAATCATTTCTCTTTCACGTCTTCCCTTTCATCCCATCTTCTTCCTCCACCAGGAAAAGAGAAAAGAAAAGAAAAGAAAAGTCATCCTAGAAGATCTCTAAAATGTTAAGACTATATGAGATGATTATTAGTGAGCTCTTTTGCCCAAACTGAAGTCTAAAGCTAGCTATGGCCCTCTGAGCTGCTCTTCATTTTCACAAAGCTGTCAAGGTCTAAATTTTCCACAATTCAGTATCAAGTCAGAGCTCAGAACCAAATTTCCCCGTCCTGATGATGTTGTTTCTAATCCTGCACCAAATAGTGCATCTTTCAAAATGATTATTGTGACTCAAAGAAAAAGCTTAAAATATATTACTGACACGGTTTAGAGAAATGTTTCTTAAAAAAACAACAACAACAACGCAAAACTGTATGTGAAAATGGGCGGGGGGTAATTCTACGTATTAGGGGAAACATGGTAAGCAATCGATTCCTTAGGATCTGAAAGGCTAAATATTCCAAAAATCTACTGAAATGCAATTCTCTCTGGCAGAGGTGACTTGTTAAGCAATTATGCAAGTGGCAGGACAGGGAGGGAAGCCCAATAGATGCACCTGGAGAGCGAGTAGAGGAGATAAACTGAAAAATCACCTGTCCAGTTCACAGTATCATCCACGGTCAGACCTAGGGAAACGCTTCCAGCAGCCTCGGACTCCAGGCGCCCAAGTTTGCACGCTTCCACGCATTCTATTGATTCACACTTCCGTCCTTCAACAGGTAGCGCCAATTACAGCCCCCAAAACACGGCCCCCCAGCATACTGGCCAATCTCGCCGTCAATCAAATACTTCACCTACCTTTTCTAAATTCTCCCTTCCCCCTCTCATTGGCTTTTCCTTCGGCCTATCCCCAAATTTCTTCCGCGCCTCGCGACGAAGGAACTTGGCCCTATGGAGCCTAGGATTGGAGCCTAGGCTACTCCCGCCCTTTGACGTCCCGCAGCTCTCCGCCCCTTTCTCCAGCACCGCCCAGCCCGAAGTGGTGGGGGCGGGGCGAGCGAGGGGGCGTTTCGGGGGGGCGGGGCTTGCATCCCACGGCGGGAGGGCGGAGCCTTCCTTCGAGCCTGCTTGATTAGGACCTCGGAGAGCGCCGGGCGCCACGACCAGAGGGACTGGAGCAGCGGCGGCAATCCGGAGGGATTGACGCTTGCGAGCCCGCCTCCCTCCGCACCTTCAGCTTCTCGGGCTGGCTGGCAGCTAGTGGCGGCCGAAGAAGGTGCCTAAGTCGGGAGTCAGATAGTCATCCCTCTGGGACGCCGCCGCCGCCGTGCAGCCGCGGCTCCCTCACACCTGTGTGTGTGTTCATGAGCGTGAGCGTCCGCGCGCGAATTTCTATGAGAGGGTTGCGTGTGCTCCGGTTTGGCGCGCGAATGTCTGTGTGAGAGTGTTTGTGTGTGTTCGGTGCCTAGGCGCTCGGCCCGGGGAGAGACGGCAGGAGCGGCTGCTCCGCGCGCCCATTAGGCTGAGGCGGGACTCGGGCCGCAGCTATCGCCGCCACTGCCTCACGTCCCCCCAAGAGCCGCCGCGGTGTTGCGGGAAGAGCGGACTGGCGGGCGAGCGCACCGGCGAGCGAGCGCGGCGGCTGCTGCGGGCAGAGCGGGGTGTGGGGTGGGTGGAGGGGGAGAAGAGGGAGGAGGGCTGGAGACGCTGGGATGGAAGGGGGGGCGGAGGGACAAGCGGAGGCTGCCGGCGCTGCCGCTCGCGGCTCCTGTCGGCTGTTGCTGTTGGGTCACCCGCATATGTTTTGGGGTCGGGCTCTTGGGGATAGGGGATGGAAAAAGGCCTACCCCTCATTACTTAATGAAAAAAAAGGGAGCGTTGAAGATGATGGGGGAGAGCCCAGAAGGTGGTAGTAGAGTAAACACCGGCTCTCCCACCGCACAATCCCAACATCGTTTTTCTGAAAATATTCTGAGCCGAACCTTTAGAAGCAAAGCCCGCCCTTAAGAGAGACAGAGTCTTGGTCTGTTGGACTCCGGTCTGATTGTATAATAATACTGATGATATAATGCTAATGACGATGATGACACTGCCTTTTATTTTTACCCCAGTGCTGATAAAGCGTAGCTACAGCTGGGGATAAAGCCCTTGAAAATTTGATGTATGCGGAGGAAATACTGTTGCTTTTAGAGTTATATTTTATTATTTCTTTTAAAAGATGTTCTTTTTTGAATTAAAATTTGACACAATGAAGTATGAGTCTTTTTCTCTTTTTTAGTCATTTATAGCCAATTCTCGTAAAATGGGGCCTGGCTACTGCCTTGACTAATGAAAAGCTAAACACTTTTACCCAGGTGTAAGTCCGTGTGTTAAGTCACCCTTTCCTTTGAATTTCTCAACAGTTTTTAAAATGAAGAAGTTTAATTTCCGAAAAGTTTTGGATGGCTTAACTGCCTCTTCCCCTGGCAGTGGTAGCAGCAGTGGCAGTAACAGTGGTGGTGGGGCTGGAAGTGGTTCCATACATCCAGGAGGGACTGCAGGGGTTCTCAAAGAGGAGATTCAGGAAACCCTGACTTCAGAGTATTTCCAGATTTGCAAGGTAAGTTTTGAATTGGCTTGAAGCCTCTTATTTCTTTATTTTACTGTTGTGAGGAAAGAATCATTAAAAACAACAACACCAAAAAAAAACCAAAACCAAGAACCAGAAACATCCACACTAGGGACTGGAAGTTGTTGAGATGCCAGCATTAGACAGTCCTGGGCAGAGAACTCTATAGATGGATGTTTGAATTAATAAAGATATTCTAGGCATTAATTTCAGAATTGTTTTAAAAACCTGCGGTAGTTTAAAGTGGAAATAAGCAAACATAAAAAGTAGAATTTGCAAGACAATGTTAAGACCAAATTGTGGACAAAATTTTTAATGTAATATTTATGTATAAGTAGAAAACTGAAGGAAAAATCACTCTGGTTAATTCCTTGTTGACATCCAGAGAAACTGTTATTTTGTGTCACTATGCAGTATAAAATGATTAAAGCTATTAAGATGTTGCTAGAAGGAAGTAGATAATAGCTAAAGGAATACATCCATTTTAAAAGATCTAATGGTATTATTTTACATTCATTGTTTAAAATTCTGTACAAAAACACCCAGAGTCTTAATAAACAAGTGATGGATTTAATTCTTGTAAGAACTCAAAAAAATAGCCTGTTTTCTGGTTTAGTGAGGAAACATTTTAGGTAATTATGCTTTAATGTTCAACTTCAAATGAATAAGCAAAAGAAAGAGTTTCTGATGGGGAGAGATGAGAATTTACAAAACAAACATTAATATATAGATATTGTTTTTTTTCTGACATAGTTTATAATTTTTATTGTTTCTTTTTGGAGGGGTAGCCTAAGAATGTGTTTTTGACCTACCATGTTCAATTTTAAAAGCTACTAAGTCATTCATATGATACAGATGAATATAGTTTTAAAATATTTGAATACATAAGAACAAATCATACATTTTTGAAATCACATAAATTATTAAATTTTTTGGTACTTCAGAAGGATTTTTTTGAAATTATTAAAATGATTTTTGTAGTAAATAACATATATAATGAGATAAGTTTCAATTATTGTGTTAGTCTTCATTCCCAGTAGTCATTGTAAAAACATTAAATCTGTAGTTATTAAAATATTACATATTAATTTTCATAAAAAATGAGTTTATTTAGAATTAGGTCAGATTAAACGATATAATTCTACCCTGTGAGGTTTGTATGCATAAAGTTCTGTATATGAGGTTGTATATAATTTCATTCTCAATTTGAAATAATAGATATTTTGTCACATTAGGGTCTTAATACTGGTCATGAGACAAATATATAAAAGGATCCTAGGGTTCAAATTTGAACGGCTAGTCAGGAGAATAATGCCCTGATTATCTAATCTTTGACATATTACTGTTTCCATTTCAAGATTCTGAAAAAAATTTCCAAATTCTTTTAGTTCATGAATGTGAGACAGGGGAGTTTTGATCAAGATAAAATTGGCATAGAAAGGAGACCACTTTAAAACAGAGTGGCAGAATGGCATTGGACTGTTGAAGTTTTAAACATGGTAGAGAAGGTTTTAAATTAAAAATTTCAGGGGAAATGGGGAATGCAAGAGAGGAAAATGGGGTATATAGTTATCTTCCCATTTATTCACACAGGAAATAGACATGAAAAGTGGAGGAAGTTAAATACTCATTAATTCAAAAACATATGGCCTAGGGAAAGGCCAAAAACACTTGGCCTAGGGATCAGACCATTTTTTAAATTTAACGTTCTGTCACTTGCCAGCCATGTATCTTGGGCAAGCCATTTTTCTGCCTTGAACCTTGATTTTCCTATCTGTCATGTGGTAATAAGTATTTCTGCTCTTCTGATTTAAGGTTATTGGGAGGATCAAACAAGACAATTAGGTGAAGGTGATGTATAACTTGGAAAAGGTGATAAAATATTTATTTTTGTAAATATTCTTAAAGTTTTAAAATCACCTTGTTCTTGGTGGAATGACTATCAGCAGTAGGCTATAATAATATAGGTAACAAAATTATACTTTCAAAGAAATTAGGATAGATAGCTATATAAGTGGAATACTAATAGTATTGAAATGTTACTAAAGGGGGAAAGTATTATGGTATCTTTGGATAGCAATATAGTTAATTTTAAAAAGTGATTTTATGATTGTACTTTAGGTTACCTGGAGTATAATATAATATGTAAAAATGGATTAAGGATATTTCAAAATTAGAACTGTTGCTAAAATGGGGACTTCATTTGGGCTCACTGATTAAATGTGCAAAGAACATTCTATTCTGAGTACTAAGCAGTTGGCACCTTTTGGGTACTTGTACCTTTTCCACATGGTCAAAATTAAAGTAAAAATCTGTAATCTTCTCTTTTGAAAACCATCCTCCTCTCTATTTTCTGATCAGTTATCAAATCCTATCTATTCCATTTCCTTAGTGTTTCTGAAATTTATTCCCTTTTCGCCATCTTCAGTACCTGTTCATTCTATTGTGTTTTCTTGGTTAGTCTCTTGAAATCACTTCCTACCTGATCTTCTTACCTCTTGTTTTACACTATTTCAGTTGATTTTGTTATGTTATGATATGGTTATTTCTGAACTATAATGTTCATTATGTCATTTCTCTGCTAAAAATTTTATGTTGGTTTCCCTAGAGCAGTGATGCTCCACAAACAAAAGTCTAATGTGAAACCCTGTAAATAACATCTATTAAAACAAATAAATGTACTTTATTGGTATATATTTTAAAAATAAATTATAATAAATTATACAGATATTATAAAAAGCTTGTTTTTTATATTTGGTTTTTGTTGTATAATATTATCCCTGGCAGGTAGTAGGAATTTTTCTGGTCTTAAAAAGTAAAAGTATAAAACTACAACCAAGTATAAAACTACAACCTTTATAATCAGTGACAAATGTATAAGAAGTTCAAAAACACAGAAATGGTAGAAGAAACTTTAGCTCAAGGTTAGCAAAAAAGTTAATACATTGGTTTACTGCTATCTCAGTTCAGTATGTACACATTTGAATGCCATTTGTTCAGATATTTGTGAAATACATGAAGTGCCTTTTCTGAACTTGAATTCTATGAAACAGAATTTGAAATTACTGCCCTATACAGTAAATGTCAAACTGTTTAACTTGATCCATATATAGTTCATTTTAGATGGGCTTCCCTTTAGATGTTTACCTTTCCATCCTCATTTCCTTGATTTCCTAAGCATATTGCATTACCTGAAAGCACTGTATTTTCATATCTCAATCTATTGCTTCTAACTACAATATCCTTTCCAGCTTTAGTAAAATTGGAGAATTCCAAGTTATTATTTTTTTTAAGATTTCTTTATTTGAGAGAGAGAGACAGTGTGTGTGTGTATGTGTGCAAGTGGGGAGTGGAGTGGGGAGGCAGAGGTAGAGGGAGAGAAACCTCAAGCAGATTCCCTTCTGAACAGAGCAGGAATTTGATCCCAGTACGCTGAGATCATGACCTGAGCTGAAATCAAGAGTTGGATGCTTAACTCACTGTGCTACCCAGGTGCCATCCCTCCATCCCCCATTACTTTTTTTAATCTCATAGTTAAAATACTACCTCCATGAAACCAACTCTGACCACTGCCTTCCTCTTTTCCTGTCCAAAGCACAGTTAGTTTTTTTTCCCTTCTTTTGTTTTCCTGTAGCATCTGGCATATTCCTATAGAGTTAATTTAACACCTTACTGTGATTGGAAAATTTATTTTTCTGTCAGTATCATTATATTGTCAACTCTTTGAGTGGTAAATATATTTTGTTTCTGTATCATTGTTAGGCTTCTTATTACCTAGCAGGCCATTCTTAACTCCGTGTAAAAGAGAGACTTCTAGCTCCACTAATCTTAGAGAATCAGTCTCTAAGGATTGGGCCTAGGCACTTACATTTTTTGGAAAGACCCCACAGGAGATTCTAATTCATGGTTGTACTGAAAACAACTATAGTAGGCATTTGATTTACTCTATGAATGAAACAATATGTACATGGTTGGTTGATTAACTGAAATGAGATTAAAGCAGAAAGTTATTAATAAAGATATGTCTTAAATATTTTATTTTAAATGAAAACATATACATCAGTTCACAAATCACTTGATAAATGAGCAATGTTAAGTGTTGGTTCTATAATTGGAGTTCTGTGTGGACTTTTCTTCCACAAGCCACGGAAATTCATTATAGTTTTTGGTTTTAATTTATCTAACATAGAATAAGAACTTATATGCTTTTGAAGCAGGTGTTAGGTCCTTCTAGATGACACATAAATATCATCTGACAGTTTGCACATATGATGAATATATTTGATGAATATATAGTTGACCCTTGAACAAGGTACAGAACCCCCATGTGTTTGAATATCTGTATATATTCAACTCCCTAAAAGCTTTACTCCCTGAAAACTTTGACTCCCACAAAACTTAACTATGAATGGTCTACTGTTGACTGGAAGTCTTACTGATAACATAAATAGCAGATATTGTATTTTATATGTATTATATACTGTATTCTTACAATAAAGTAAGCTAGAGAAAAGAAAATGTTATTGAGAAAATCATAATAAGAAATACATTTATAGTACTATACTATATTTATCGAAAAAAATTTCAAACATCGGTGGACCCATGCAGTTCATATCCATGTCATTCAAGTGTCAACTTGAATACATACACACACACACACATATATATATAAAGTATAGATGAGTATATATATATATATACACATATACACACACACGAGATAAATGCGTGTGTGTGTATATATAATATACAATATATTATATATATATCATATGATACATATATAATAAATATATATATGTAAATATATATATTTATTTATTCATCTCTATAGTTAACTGACTTACACATAATTAGGTCTGGAGTAGGAGAGCATAAGTATTCTAGCTAAGTTTACTAGTGTCAGTTATTCAGGGAATCACTAATATCAATCTGTTTTATAAAGAGAATGGGAAGTTTTTGTTAATCTAGCAAGTTGGTTAAATTAGAGT